AGAAATCCAAGAAGAAACCAGCATGGCTGCACAAAGATTTCTCTGGCAAATTGAAAGAAAAAAAGGACAAGTACAAAAAATGGAAAGAAGGACACACAACTAAGGCAGAATATCAGCAGATAACCAGAAACTGCAAAGACGAAGTCAGGATAGCAAAGGCTCAGAATGAACAAAGACTTGCAACAAAAGTAAAAGATAATAAAAAATTTTTTTTCCAACATATAAATAACAAGAAAAAAATCAAGGTCCACTAAAGAGAGAAGATGGCAAGGAAGTAACAGGCAACAGAGAGAAAGCAGAACTGCTTAACTCATTCTTTGCATCTGTCTTCATGCAAAAAGAAACTATAGCTCAACCCACCGAAAACGTAACTGTAAAAGACAGACCAGAAATAAACGTTAAAATAAGCAAAAAAAAATAATAATAAGAAGAAACCACCTGTCTGATCTTGATGAAAACAAATCACCGGGGCCTGGTGGATTACATCCCAGAGTTTTAAAAGAGCTGGCAGAGGTCATCTCAGAACCACTGCACCATATCTTTCAAAAATCCTGGAGCACCGGAGAACTAACAGAGGATTGGAAAAGAGCTGATGTGGATCCCATCTTCAAAAAAGGGAAAAAAAACATACCCAGGAAACTATAGACCAATCAGCCTAACATCAATACCTGGGAAGATACTGGAAAAGATAATAAAAAAACAGATCTGCCAACATCTAGAAACAAGTAAAGTAATAACTAGCAGTCAGCACAGGTTTGTTAAAAACAGATCTTGCCAAACCAATCTTATTTCATTCTTCAACACAGTGACTAAATTAGTAGACCAGCAAAATACTGTGGACATAATATATTTAGATTTCAGCAAGGCATTTGACAAAGTAGACCACAACCTACTTCTTGGTAAGCTAGAAAAAAGTGGAATAGATAGCACCACCACTAGATGGACTCGCAAATGGCTGACAAACTGTACTCAATGAGTAGTCCTAAATGGATCTAAGTCTACATGGAGGGAAGTAAGCAGTGGAGTGCCACAAGGTTTCATCTTAAGCCCAGTACTCTTCAATATCTTCATTAATGACTTAGATGAGGGAATAGAAGGGGAACTTACCAAATTTGCAGTTGATACTAAGCTGGCAGGAATAGCTAATACCCAAGAAGATAGGCTCAAGATTCAGATGGATCTTGACAGACTAGAACACTGGGCTGTATTTAACAAAATGAAATTCAATGTAGAGAAAAGTAAAGTCCTACACTTAGGCAAGAAAAACCAAAAGAACACATATAGACTGGGTGAAACCAGGCTCAATAGCAGTAACTGTGAGAGGGATCTTGGAGTCTTAGTGGACAACCAGCTAAATATGAGCCAGAAGTATGCAGCAGAAGCCAAAAAAGCTAATGCAATCCTAAATTGTATTAACAGAGGGATACAGGCAAGATCAAGGGAAGTACTAATACCACTCTATAAAGCCTTAGTAAGACCACACCTAGAGTACTGCATCCAGTTTTGTTCACCACATTATAAAATAGATGTTGAGACTCTAGAAAAAGTACAGAGAAGAGCAACCAGGATGATTAGGGGACTGGAGGCTAAAACATACAAAGAACGGTTGCAGGAACTGGGCTTGGCTAGTCTAGTAAAGAGAAGGACCAGAGGAGGCATGATAGCAGTCTTCTAATATTTGAGGGGCTGCCACAGGGAGGAAGGGATCAAGCTATTTTCTAAAGCACTTGTAGGCCAGACAAGGAACAATGGATGGAAACTGAACAAGGAGAGATTTAACCTGGAAATAAGGAGAAATTTTCTGACAGTGAGAACAATCAACCACAACGGAAGTTGTTGGAGCACTATCACTTGAGACTTTTAAGAAGAGATTGTTCTGCCATTTGTCAGAAATGGTGTAGGGTCTCCCGCTTGGGCAGGGGGTTGGACTAAATGACCTACAAGGTCCCTTCCAACTCTGATTATCTGTTAAATCTGTGCTACCTTGATGCTTGTCAAGGTTTTCTCTCAGGTTTTCTTCAGCTCAGAGGGAGATGAAAGAGAAAGGGGAAGCCTGACACAAAAGCAAATGACCAAAAGTCATGAAGTAATGTATCTCAAAATATAGACGTGTATAAAAAGAAGATAAAAAGGATTTAGGATTGACCAAGAAGGAATCAGGCATTAAGAACGTGTGCATTTGAATCAATAGATTTGGATTGTAATGTATTTATGATTTTATATACTAACAGTGTAGGTATGTAGTTATTTTTTTCATAAATTTCAAGGGAAAATGATTTGGGAGTAATATTCCAATGAGAAGAAAATTTGATTGGAAAAGTTGAATTTAAAACTTGGTGATGTAACGAAATTAACTTTTTACCTATATTGATCCTTTATCTAGAGTAGGATATTGTAGGATCAAATGAGACCTAGTTTGTGCTAGTTTATCTTTCTTAGAAATTTTACTGCATCTTTTTTAGGAAGTTTTTTAAATAAAAATATGTGATTGGTCATTGGCAACCATTTTAAAAAAACCTGTATGTGCCCATATCCCCCAAAGTTGAAGGCTACTGTGTTATGTAACAGGTTTGGGCTGGTGGTAGAAGAGATTAATCATGATTCTAAACTTGCAAACAATGCTTTTTTCCTAAGAAAGTGGGATCAGGTAAAGATATCGATCACTTGATGTTGGTGTCATCAGAAACAACCATAGATTTATAGTAGCTCCTCAACTTTTTATTCAACACAAAATAAGAATGTACTCATTTACTGGTGGAGTAAGTATATTGAACAAAGTGATGCTGACTTCTAAGTAAATAAGTAACTTCCAAAATTTCAAAACATCTATTTTGTCACATAGGTTAAGGATCACTGATATCAGCCAACAAGTAGGCAATCTATACTTCCTTATAAAGTTTAACATTCTTTTAGTGTACTACCAAGGTTTAGGAATGATCTATCATCACTGCCATAGAAGGAAACTGTAAGTGAAATTTGAATCAAGTAAATCACCAACTATTATTCTTGCTCCTGAAAAAAAAATTGATGCAAGAACACCACCATTCTTATGTAAAGTAAGCCTCTATATGACCTTTTAGGTTCTCATAAATTAACTGTAGCCAATACCCAGTAGATTCTCACTAAATTTTGCCCTTAACCATGGTGAGAGATTAAGGGTAATTAATGTAAAAATATGGTTTTTTCTCAATCCTTTCCTACATAAGCACAAGTCCTTTAGATTGAATTTGTATCACAATTTAGAATTCATTAGCATTCGTGCTTAAGCTTACTTAGAAGCTGAAAAGATATTTAACTATGGATTAAGTCAGTGGGGAAAAGTTCAGCATGACAAGAGTTGTTTGTGAAGAAACAATTTAATAATCTATAGATTGTCCCAAATCTGAAATTAGTGTATGGAATATTTTTTTTTTTTTTGCACATAATATTTAAATTCCGAATGACTTAGGAAAGAATTGAATCTAGTAAAGTGAAATAATTTGGAACATCAAAGACCTTCTATGGATAAAATTTAACTTTAGCATAAGTATTTAGAGATCCATTTGATAATGTATCTTTACACAATCTGTATTACAAAGATGTATTAATAAGTGGCTATATATTTTTTGTAAAAAATTGTTCTTCCACGCTTGAGAATATACCACAGCAGTTACTGAAAGTGTTCACTAATGTCAAGTCAATATTCTAAATAAATATTACAAACATAAACACATTGAAAAATACAACTTTGAGCATTTTGTGTTGACTCTAATTTAGCTTTCACAAAAAATCATGTTATTTTAATTTGCTTTAGATTAGACTTTGCCTTCTTGCCAAGATGTAGGCTTGCATGTTTCACAATATCTTAGTCACTGCCAAATTCAAAAACTTATTTTTTGAAAAATCTGACTATCGAAAAGCATTTTAAAAAGATGTGTGCTAACTACTCAATAATTTTGGTTTCAGAAAACTAACATCCTGCTGGTAGCCAAAATCATGTTCAAATGGCTTGTGTAAAACAAAGCACTTTGTCCCTGCTGTAATATGCTACAAAAAACACTCCTATTTTTACAGTCTTTATAAATTGTTTTTCCCACCATTAAAACTGGAATTTTCAATAAAAGTCAAAGTATATCTCCGCGAGTGAACTGAATTTTATTCCAAAATGCACAAGCAGCCATTCTTCTACTTCTATATCTAACAGAAGTCCTGTATACTTCAAAACTAGCAACACATATATAAAATATTGAAACAGTCAATACTAATCTCATTTTCCACTCATCAACAGTCTAAAGTAATCACATACGTGAACAAAAACGTTAAAGAAATACAAGATGCAGTGCAAAGTCATGTCAGCAGGGGGCAATCCAGCACGAGCAAAAAGAAGCCGGAATTGTTCCCTTAGGACTTTCTTAACTTTATGTCTGCTAAATAGCACAACTGTCAATAAATCTGACCAGTTTTTTACACTCTGTAAATCATAATAGTTAAACAACACCAATGTATTAAAACGGCAAACATTCATTTGAAAAAAAAAAATTCAGAAGCCCTTATGAAGCCTCAAATTCATTTAGTCCTGTGTTTGTCTGTGCATACGTGTGTGCGTTTGTGTCTGTGTCTATGTGTCTGTGTCTCGCTGTGTGTATAGTAATTCAATATCATTTCAAATGAAAAATGCAGCCAAAGATATAGTTATTCCTTAAAATCCACCAGTCACAGATTTCATATTCAGGAATCACAGGTAGCCCTAAATCAATGCACAGGGAGAGAAAAGGAGAGAGAAGGAGAGAGAGGGAGAGAGGAAGGGAGGGAGGGAGAGGGAGAGGGAGAGAGAGAGAGAGAGAGAGAGAGAGAAACCAGGCACCAGATATTGGGGAGAGGGTAGAAAGGGGATGGACTAAAAGGTGAAAAAAATACCAGAACTTTCATTGGTTCCCTTCCCTGTAACAGGATGTAATATATTCCAGACCTTAATACAATGTAGGAGGTGTAGATGGGTAGGAGTGAGCTGAAGTACTCACCATATTGACTTCTGACACCATGTCTATACTGGCTATGTCTATGTTCATGCCAACCGACACAGGAGGACCTGCAACATAAGACAATCTGCACTGTGATCTTTAACCATTTCACTCATTTCAGGCAAGATTAGCTCAGACTCAAGAAGGGGTGGGGCACAAGGACTTCTCAGTCTTAGTTACCCCTTTCCACCCCCCACCCCCCCACCCCCATAGCAGGAAGGCTTTATGTAACTAACTCACAGGCTTATACCTTCCTCCCTGAAGGTTTGCTACATTAATAACAGGGTGTAGGGTCTTTTTTGTTGGGCAGGTAAAGAGAGACACCTCCCCACCAACCAACTAGAGGAAATTAGGAGGACTTTAAAGCAAGCAAGGTGTTGATTCCCGCTTGCCGCGTGGACTCATCCTGATGAACTGGAGTCTAGCAAAGTGCAAAGTCAACCCATCCTAAATTCCAAACTATTCTCTTCACTGAACGATCTCTTGGTGTGTATTCCAAAGGGCTCTAATTTAAATTTAGGTCTAAAACATCGCAGACACATGCACATGGAAAGATTTCACTAAAAGCAAAGCCCCTGGGTGGTTTGAATGGCATGAACATTCAGTTTGCAGGATATTTGCACTTTAAAATACTCCTAAAATACCACAGGGATAGATACGGTAGCTTGATGAATGAGCACTGGATAAACTTAGGACATTGGCATCTCAATAAAGTTTAAATTACAGAAAGGAATGTACACTGCCTGCCAACACATATTCCTACAATGAGGCCAGTCACACACACACACACCACACACACACACCACACACCCACACCTATACACACACACAAATAGTCATTATATGTTGGAGAAAATTGGAGAACACTGACTTAACTTGGAGAAACCTTCAGAAATTACAATTCCCGTGCATTAGTGAGAGGCAGCTCCCTGACAATGTTTGAAACAGGCACTCACAACCCAGAGCATGGCAGCCTAGGCGTGCGGCAAGATTCTTCCACAAAAGCAACCAAATTACCTCCAAAATCTGGCCTCAGTCGAATGTCGTAGCCTTTCAGCAATCTATCCACAGTCTCTTTTACTAGGGACATATTGCTGGGATCATTAGCACTACAGAGAGATGGGGAAAAAAATACATCAGTACAGAGACATTTTCTGTCTTCTCTCTTCTCTCTCCCCCTCAAAATGCGTTTTGTACTTCCAGTTTAACGGAAGCATACAATACATTTCAAAGTGAAGGATTGGGGGGGTTAATATAGAAGAGAACCTTTAATCACTTACCTCTGTGCACAAACCACTGTTATTATAAAGGGCAACGACCAAATCCCAAAGCAACCTTTTTTCCGGACTCTCAGCATCCCTTTAGCTTTTGATAGGATTTTAGGGTTTCAGTAGAAGAGAAGAAGAGATCCAACTTATTCTAGCCAGTGCAGTAATTCTAATGTGGAACGCATGCGCACGGTGTACCACAACATCAAAAGGAGCAGTGGTTGATGCTGGAGATGGAGCAAATTTCCTTGCCAAAAGAGAAAGAGGGAAGGAAGGAAGGAAGGAAGGAAGGAAGGAAGGAAGGAAGGAAGGA